AGAGTGACAGCAAAATATTCTCAAATTCCAAAAGATAGTGATTAAATCACCACAGAATGAATTGGCCTTCCTCTCTCCTGACAGTCTTCTGGAAAGAGTAGTCCATACACTTTCTTTGAAAAGTATAATAAGGAGGACCAGCAGTTGGTGTAATGGCTATGTCACTGGACTCCCATGTAGTGGACTGCGGTTCAAGTCCTGAACCTGGTGGCTTAAACTCATGCTAGGCGCGTGTGCGTGTGTGCCCAAGATCCTGAGAGGAGAATGGAGGAGAAGGGATTGTGGCATGGCCATCCCTCCTGGGGGGTGATTTCTTGCTTTCTGTCTCTCTCTCTGTCTTTCTGGCGAGCACATGTGCCCTATAGCAAAAAAAAAAAAAAAAAGTATAATGAACAATGAGCTGATGCCTTTTTGTCTCACTTCTCAATATTTTTTCCCTTCTCAGTCTCTATGATCTAGTTTCCAACCCACTCACTCACCTTACTAAAACTACTTTCCATGTCTGACAACTTGTCTGCTAGCCACATTCTCCTTTGTATTTCTTCAATGCTTGACACATGATCAACTGCTCTTTGAATGCAAGCTCTCTCGGCTTCATTTGGGTCCTTTTATTTATTCTGTTGGTCCTACTTCATTCACTTTCCTCATCACTGAGGACATTTTCTCTGGTTTGGTTCCATATCCTTTGTGTTAATCTTTTGATGGAAAGCAGCTCATTTAGGCCCTTGTCTTTAAATAGCCTCTCTATAGATTTCCCAAATCTTCATTTCTAACATCAACTTGACCTTCCCACTTGACCTCGATCGAATTCCATATTCTAAACTCTCAACATGTCCCTACTTTGAAATTCCCACCTCAAATTCAACATGTCCAAAACCACACTCATCAAACCTATGCCTCCCCCTAAATTTCTCACTTCTGTCCCCAACACCATTTTTATCCATTATGTTCAATCAAGATTTTGGGGTCACAGAAGATGACTCATGGGTTACTCCAGATCCCGACAAATGATTTTTTGAATGATATATCAAAGCTTATTAACATGTATGTACATTCATACATATAATCATACTGATAACTAGGGTTTCCTACTTAAAATTATAGTATAAACTTATGAATCCTTCCCCTCCCCCCATTCTTTGTCTCTGAGAATAAGTAAGAAGAAAACAAGGAAAAAAGAAATAAAATTCCTCTAGCTCTACTCTCCAAAGGGACAGGAAAAACTTCTGTTACCTCCCAGGGTTGTGATAGCTGTTAAACTGAATCTTTTCATGCATCTCTGAAATGACCATACAAATTTAAATAAATAAATAAAACCACGCACGGCCCCTGACTGCAACACCAAGTCTGAGAATCTTATAAACTTTGAAGTATTCATAAATAGAGAAATAACCATTCAATTCCAGCAAAGCTGCCTCTGAAGTTCCCTCTTCAATCCTGGGAATGTGGAAAATGAGGGTCTCTAAAAAGCACTATGCAGAGGAGAGTGAGAGGAGCAGAGAACCTAGGGTTGGTAGAGAACAGACAAAATCATTCCAGGAAAGAAATGTCCTATCCTACATTAAAACACATAAACATCCAGGCCAGCAGGTGGCACCACAGTTAAGGCACTGGACTCCCACATGGCCAACCACAGCTTGGGTCCTAGACTAGGCAACTTGAAAATCATGCTGGGCCTGGGTGCATGTGAGCCCAAAATTCCAAGAGGAGAATGAAGGAGGAGGGATTGCAGTATGGCCATCCCCACTGGGGGTGATTTCTCACGTTCCCTCCCTGTGTCTCTTTCTGTCTCTTTCCAGCTAGCACAAGTGCCCTATGACAAAAAACTTTTTTAAAAAAGCTATTATTTTCATTATCACTGGCGCTTTTATTATTGTTTTCACTATTATTTATTGTTCAATATGATTACAATTTTTCTTCCTCTTCCTATAACAGGAGGGTGGTAATATGCGGGTCTACAGCTCTGAGTGGTTTACAAAGTAAGTGGTTGGGGAGCTAGTCCCGGGTCCCTGGGCACACAGGGTGAAGATAACTGGAGAAGTGTTGGGGAAAGTTCAGAGAAAACTCCATTACTTACCAGACAGCTGAAGTTTTTGCTGGATCCCATCTAGCTGACCGTACGGTTCAAGGTCCCAGAACTGGCAGCTTGAAAAACACGCCAGGCATGTGTGCCAGCGTGCGTGCCCAAAATCCCAAAAGGAGGGAGAAATGGAGAAGGGATTGCTGCACGGAAACTAAGAGAGACAGCACTGGCTATAGAGAAAGGGTTTGAAAGTGGGACTCCAAATGAAAGTTTCAGAAAGGCAACACTTCGGTGCGACCAGAAGCTATATTGAGAAGTGTCTTTTTTTGAGGTAAGGCAGAAAGGGAAAGAAGTTAGAGGGAGAAATTAAGGATCCTGCAGAAACAAGAGTGAACCATAAAATCAAAAAACACATTAAGCCCTCCTTTACCAGAAGACTCTTCCTTTAAATAAACTGCATCATACTAACAGAAGAGGGTAGTATTTAAATAAAAACCTCAGCGGTCACCCCAAAACCCTCATCCTTGTCCATAAAAAATGACCAAAACAGAATTGTTCCCCTAAACAAGTCTACAGTAAAAAGAAAACAGAAAATGAAAACCAAAACATCCATCAGATTAAATTTGTCCTCTGAAACACACACACACACACATACACACACACACACACACACACACACAAAACATAACCACTAAGCAGAATATTACTGTAATACAAGACTTCAAATACAATAAAATAATCTCAAGAAAACACTTGGAGATGTGTGAAATCACATTGAAACATAAATTTAAAAATTAAAAACATGTGTCTAGGGTCCAGCAGGTAGCATGGTGGTTAAGGTGCTGGACTCCCACTTGGTTGACCATAGGTTGAGTCCTGGGCCTGATGGCTTGCTTTCTTACTTTCTCTCTCTCTCTCTCTCTCTCTCTCTTCCTCTGCCTCTGTGTCTCTCTGGTGAGTACATGTGCCCTGCAGAAAATTTTAAAATAACAATCATAAATAAAATTTTAAAAAATAATTCTTTTTTAAAAATGTATGTCTATTTAAAACCAAAAGAAATGGAAAAGTTTCTTTTAGTCAGAAAAGAAAGGTATGGGCCAACCCGTGGCATGATGGTTAAAGCAGCTGAACTCCACATAGCGACCATTTGGTTTAAGTTTTGGACCAAAATTTTTCATGGCTTGAAAAACATGCTAGGCACATGTGTGTACATGCCCAAAATCCCAAAAGGAGGGAGAAGTGGAAGGGAAGGGATTACTATGTGACCATTCTTTACATGGATGCTTTCTCACTTTCTCTCTCTTTTTCCCCCTTTCCCATGAGCACATGCACAATCTGGCAAAAATTACAAAAGAAAAGGAAAATGTATGTACTATACTTGGTAAAACTGAGCTGGAATGCCCACCTCAAGTTCCTAAAATAAAGTAGAAATGTAACTCTACATATAAGCAAAGCAAGATGGCATAGTAACTAACCTCTTTTGTTTCAGTATTCCAAAAGACTGTCACATTCTCTTTCATCACAAGTTGAAACTTAGATTTTGTGAATATATATTCTCCAATTTTCACAAAGGTAATATCTCCATTGTCACCTAATTGCCAATTTAGAACATCATAGTATCCGGTCACATCTCCATTTTCATCTATCTCTATTCTCACTCCACCTTGGGTTGTAAACTTGAGTGTCTTCATATAGAACATTAGCTAGAAAGTAAGGAGGGAAAAAAAGATTACAGGGAAAAAAGCAATTTCAAAAAATTTAACATAAAACAGTTTCAAACTCGTATCTATTTTAATTTGTGAGACTGGATTTATTTTTCTTCCTCTATACTTGGCTGTCTAATACAACAATCTCTAGCCATATGCAGCAGTGGGAACTTGAAAAGTGGTAGGTCAAATTGAGATGTACTTTCAGTATAAAATACACATTGGATTATAAAGACTTCATTAGAAATATTTTTTAACCGTCTCATTAACAATGTTACATTATTGGGACCAGTAAATGGCATAGTAGTTAAAATGCTGGATTCCCACATGACCAACCACAGTTTGAGTCCTGGACCTGGTGGTCTGAAAATCACACTGGTTATGTGTGCCTGTGTGCCCAGAGTTCCAGGAGGAAAGCAAAGAAGGAATTGCAGCATGGCCATCCCTGCTGGGGGGAATGATTTCTCGCTTTCCCTCTCCCTGTCTCTTTACAGCAAGCAAACATGCCCTATGGCAAAAACCTAAAATAATAATAATAAGGAGAATTTCACATTAATATTTTTATATAATTACATGTTAAAATATTATTTTGAATATCTTGACCTAAATATATAATATTGGGAGCAGCAGTTAGCGTCATGGCTATGTCGCCGGACTCCCACATAGTCGACCGCAGTTAGAGTCCCGGACCCGGCGGTTTAAACTCACACCGGGTGCATGTGCGTGCGTGCCCAAGACCCCGAGAGAAGAATGGAGGAGAAGGGAGTGCAGCGTGGCCATCCCCCCTAGGGGGTGATTTCTCATTTTCTATCTCTCTGTCTCTCTCTTTCTGGTGAGTGCACGTGCCCTATAGCAAAAACATCTCTCTCTCTCTCTCTTTCTCTCTCTCTCTCTCTCCATATATATATATATATAATATTAAACTTATATATATATATAAAATATTAAACTTAATGTCATCTGTTTCTTTTTTGTTGTTAATTTGGCTGCTGGAAAATTCTAATTTACCTATGTAGCTTATATAGTTCTATTGAAATACTGGTTTTTTTCTTTTTTCTTTCAAACATTGGTTTCTACTTATACACAGTGGTATCTAATATTTCCTAATCCCCATGTTGAAGGAACAGTGAATATTTTTACGTCCCTCCTAGATTTTTTTCGTTGATAGGTACCAGCACAATCCCCCAACCACCACTGCTGCTTTCCCTGTGTCCCAGGTGCCTAGAGATATGGAAATTAGGAAGGATCCATTACCTGCCCTTACTGGAGAAGCTAGACAAACAGGCACTGATTGTAAAAACCAGTGCACTCTATGTTGCTATTGTCGAAAAAGTGTTAAAAGGGTAGAGTGAGGGCCTGACTACCTTTCCCAGTGTTTAGATAATAAATTAAGCAATAGTAACTTACCATACAAAATGGTTCTCTAAATTGCAAAAGAAGCACTTGGCGAATTTCTTTTATAATGAAGGAACTTTGGCACTTAAAATATAACTTAATTTACCATTGTGCATTTAACACAACTTCCTCAATACCAGTGAAAACACCTAGCCCTCAGATCTTGGTTTACAAATTCCATTCCTCAGTAAATGGAAACAGGACGTTTTGGAGAAATGGCTAACTATAGAGATGGGGCAGAGATAGGACAAGATAAGCTGGAAGATCTTGGGATTCCAGGAAGGAAGGAAGTGCTCAGAAATGATAAGGATGTGTCAAGGAAACAGGAGCCAACTCAAAGTGGCCCTCAATGGTCAAATATGAAAAATTTTGAGCAAGAAAACAAATAACAATAGTTACAGATGATTACTCATTGAACTGCAATAAATATCTATGAGTCCATATTGATGTTGATAAATCAGTAGAGGAGAAATAGGATTCGAGCTAAGAAATGTAAGAGGAAAGAGGGAAATAGAAAACTCATCATTGGACCAGCTTCACGGCCTAGTGGTTAAGAGAGCTAGATCTCAAATGGCCATTTGAATCCCAGCCCCAGTGGCTTGAAATACATGCTGGGTGCATGTGTGTGTGTATTCAGAGTCCCAACAGGATGGAGAAATGGAGGGAAAGGGATCATGGCATGACCAGGCTCCATGGAGTAGGGGGAACTTTCTCCTCTCTCTGTCTCTCCCTCTCTCTGATGAATTCACAGGCCCTCTGGCAATTAAGAAAAGCAAAGCACAGAAAAAGAAATCATCATTTTCCAAGTAACACAGTAATAGTTACTTCAGGCAGGAAGCACCGTGATGCAGGCCCAGCCACAGTGGTGCTCGCTGCTACAACACATGCGTGTAGGGGGCTGGGACCAGGGGGGAGACCGAGGCTCCGCTCCAGGTCCAGCCTTAGGGCTGAGCACCGTGGCGCATGCCTGCAATCCTAGCAACTCGGAAAGCCTGAGGCCGGAGCATTGCAACACAAGGAGATCCTGTCTAAAGTAAAATAAAATAAAAGGAAGATAAAATTTTGTGGGAAAAAGTATCATGAGAAACAAAATGTTCTCAGAGCCTCAAAATATTGCCCACTATGTAATTATTAATTACAAAGGAAAATACAGTAACTTCATAGTGGAAAAACTTGGTGACCTCACTCTATTTAAGTGACCAAAGTTAATACCAGTGAAACTTTACATCAAGTGTCTCCTTGACATGAAGCAGAGAAAAGGACACATTGTCACTTCTATTGTATTCTTACCAGAAATGCATAACTCTCTATCTAATCATGAGAAAAAAATAAGATAAAACCAAAATGAAAATCATTCTAAAAACAGCTGACCAGTACTCACTGAAAAAATCAAGGTCACAAAAAATAAACAAAGAAAACAGAACTGGGGGCCAGTAGGTGGTGTGGTGGTTAAGGCACTGGACTCCCACTTGACTGACTGTAGTTCGAGTCTAGACCTGGCAGCTTAAAAATCACATAGGACACATATGTGTGCTTGCCCAAAATCCTGAGAGGAGAGTGAAGGACAAGGGATTGCAGTGTGGCCATCACTCCACAGGATGATTTCTCACTTTCTCTCTCACTGTCTCTGTCTCTCTCTCTATGGCAAGTGCATGCACCTTATGGCAAAACCAGAAAAAAAGAAAAAACTGTCACAAGTTGCAGGAGTCTGAGGAGACACAGAATTAAATGCAATGTACAATTTGAAAATAAAAATTATAATGACAGGCTGTCAGGTGGCATGGTGTTTAAAGGCACTGGATCCCCACATGGCCAACCATGGTTTGAGTCCCAGAACTGTCAGCTTGCTTTCTATTTCTATGTCTCTGTCTGGTCAAATTTAAAAATAATAGTAACAAATAGAAATAAACAAATAAATAAATATTTTAAAAATTATAACAAAGAGCTCATGTTCCCAGCCATTTGGACTGTGTTGGAGGTGACAAACAATTTAGTGTTGCAGGAGAGTGAAGTGGTGAGGGACATGGACAGAGAGATAAAATCAGAGATTGTGACAGGGCCACACCAGTGGTGGTCATCATTTACCCTTTATAGGTAGAAGGTAAGGTACTGAAGAGTACAAGCAAAGAAAGTTGGAGAAGGTCGCATCTTGATGACATCACTTAGGCTGCTGCATCCCAACCTGAGTTGCTGGCACATCAGACCTAAGACAGGAGATGTGGGGGCCAGTCCCAAAGACAGCCACCAACAGTCTTCATCCTCTGGCATGCCAGCCCTTGTCTGACTCCTTCCACTTTGCTTAAAAACTACATCTTCCACTTTGACTTGTAATTAGATAAAGCTATCTGATGAAATTGAGGCTAAAGGGATGTGAGGAGAATTGCATGTAGTTCTCAAGAACTAGCCTGAAGTGGAGGAGTGTGCACATCACCCTTGATCCTTCCCACTGGTGGACGTGATGTTTGAAGCCCAAGTGGCCATTGTGGATTCTAAGACGAATCCCTATATTGTGGGAGAAAAAAACCTATCTGGATGAAGGCACTGGGTTTGTTTGTGTTTTTCAGGGTTTTGTGGGGTGGGGGGAATGTTTTATCATTCACAACAAAGCTAATAATCACTCTATTAACAAAACAAGAACTTCAAAATACCCATGTAGGCCACACAAACAAGCCATGATTTTAGATGGGCATGTGACGAAATCACGTCTATTCTGTACGAAGGCAAATCAATACGTTTTGCTTTGTTTTGTTAAGATTTTTGCCATAGGGCACGTGTACCTGCCGGAGAGAGAGACACAATGAGGGGAAAAGTGTGAAGTCACACTATAATCTCTTCTCCTCCATGGTCCTCCTGAGATTTTGGGTACACATGCACACATAGCCTGTTTGATTTTCAAGACTCCAGGTTGAAGACTCGAACTGCAGTCAGCCATGTAAGTGTCTAGCACTTTAACCACTATGCCACTTGCTGGCCCTGAATCAATAGTTCTAATAGCATGAATTCTTAACATCCTCAAACTGTTGGGTTGTTGGGAAAGTCGTGAAGCATTTTTGTATTTAAAAAAAAAAAAAAAAGATAGGAAAATATGTCATGACTTTCCAACAATCTAATATAACGTGAAGTAAAACAACAACTTACCTGCCAAGGCTCAAAGTCAGGTATGTAGGCACAGGTGTTTCCTGGAATATATGGCCCACGTCCTTCTTCACATCTGCTTAGACGATCCAGGGCGATAGCCATGGAGTACACAGCTTGTCTGACGTTGTTTGTAATTCGTAACTGAGACACATCCAGATAGGTATTTTTAAGGTCTTCCAACTTCTCCTGCCCAGTACAGAATTTATCGGACATGGCATATAGTCTGTCTTCTTTGCCAGTCATATTCACTCTATGGTCAACATTGTATGGGACACTACTATTGGGCCAGGTGCAGTTAAAAGCGGTTTGCCAGAATTCAATGGTCAGGACATCATTTGGATCCTTGCTAGGATGGATGTCGTAAAGAAATTCTTTAAAGCCTGGTATATCAGCTCGTGGTACTCCGAAGCCAATGGTGCCACCGAAATATGGGAAATACTGAGGATTCGCAATGAGGGCTGACGTAACCCAGGCTTCGCTCGCTATCCACGTTCTGTCGGTTATGTTGTGGTAAACCATTTCCAGCACAAAAGGACTGAGGTCAATGTCAGATGCAAAGAGCACGATGACTCTGGCAGTGGAACTCTTTATGGCATCAACGGCTTTCTGCATCTTCTCATTGGAATAGACTTTGGGAATGGTTTCAGAGAATGCGATGCAGAGGTTGGCAATCTCTGCTTTTTCCTTGAAAAGCTTTATTCCGTATTTTCCATAATCATCATCACCTGCGATAGCACCTATCCAGACCCACTTAAAATGTCGTATAAGGGCTACCATGGCGTCAGACTGGAACGTATCACTGGGAATTACTCGAAGATAAGAAGGAAACTGGTATTTGTCACTAAGAAGTGAGGTGGTAGAGGCATAGCCCACCTACAATCAAAAATATTCATGTGTTATTAGAAAACAATAGACAAATCTTGAATTACACAATTTCAGAATGTTTTTATTGAAGAAGAAGGAAACTTAACAATTCTTCCTTGGGGGCGGCAGATGGCATAGTGGTTATGTCACTGGATTCCCACATGGCCAAATGTGGTTCAAGTCCTGGACCCAGTGGCTTAAAAATCACACCACTGTTGCATGTGTGCCCAAAATCGCAGGAGGAGAATGGAAAAGAAGGGACTATGGCATGGCCATGCCCTCCTCAGGTGATTTCTCACTTTCCCTCTCTCTCTCTCTCTCTCTCTCTCTCTCTCTCTCTCTCTAGCCAGCACATGCACCCAAGGCAAAAACACTCTTAAAAAAAATTATGGGGGCCAGTAGATGGCGTGGTATTTAAAAGCACTGGATTCCCACATAGCCAACCACAGTTTAAGGCCTGGACCTGACAGCTTGCTTTCTCACTTTCCTTTTCTCTCTCTGTCTCTCTCTGGTCAAATTAAAAACTAATAATAATAACAAATGAAAACAAATAAATAATTTTTTAAAAAATAATTCTGGGACCAGCAGATAGAGTAATGGTTAAGTTGCTGGACTCCCATGTAGTCAAACGTGGTTCAAGTCCCGGACCTGGTGGCTTAAAACTCACGCCAGGCGCACGTGCATGTGTGCCCAGAATCTCGAGAGGAGAATAGAGGAGAATGGATTGTGGCATGGTCATCCTCCCGGGGGGGGGGGTCTGTCTCTCTGTCTCTCTCTCTGACTCTACAGAGAGTGCACATGCCCTCTAAAAAAAGAAAAAAGATTTTACTCTTACCTTCTTCTATAAACAAAAGAATTTCTATTCCTTTCCTTACTCAGTAGGTGGAAATCACTGAAGGGAACACTCTGGGCCTCCCTATTGACCCCTGACCCCTCCCCAAGAAAGTTGGGGGAGCCAATTATTATATTAAGATGACAGCATGAAATGTACTACTTTTCACAAGTGGCATTACAGCACTGAAAAGGAAGTCACCTAGTCTTTCCGCTATGCTTCCCTGAGACAAGTCAAGTGAGCCAAGACATCCAGGCTCTTTCTCAGATCTAAATTCTCATCAATATAGATCACGGAGTGAGTGAAATCACAATCCATTTGGCAAACCCAGTTATCTCTCTCTGTCTCTCTCTCCCTCTCCTCATCTCTTTCTCTTCCATCACCAGCACTTTCACTCTTTCTCTCCTCTTCTCTTTCCTTGTTTGTCTCTGCCAGAACTTCTGAGCGTGTAGGTCCCAAGGCTTAGCTAGAGAAAAGTGACAAGATATACAACCTCAACCTCAGGATTAGACCATAATTCTTCAACAAAGTTACCTGAAGCCCTCACTTTCCTAGAGAAATGAAAAGGTACTTTTTCTCATTTTCTCAGTGACTGTTGTACGTATTTTCCTCCCATGAGAACTGCAGGAGGCAGGCCAAGTGCCCATGGATTCTAGTCATACTACATGTATTTATTCTATAGATTACCTTTAACCTCATCAGTTCTATAGTTAAAAACATATTCTAGAAGCAGCAGATGGCGTAATGGTTACATCACTGGACTCCCGCATGGTCAACTGAGGTTCAAGTCCGAGATTCTGTGCTTCAAACTTGCACCAGGTACGTGTGTATGCATGCCCGGAATCCTGAAAGGAGACTGGAGACGGGATTGCGTGTGGCCATCTCCCCAGAGGGTGATTTCTGGCTGTCTCTCTATCTCTCTGGCGTGCGGACGCACCCTATAACAAAAATCTCTCTCTAAAAAAAGAAACATATTCTAAGACTGGGGCATTAAAATGTGAATAGTCCAGACTTCTTAACATGACTGATGATTAAGCTCTGAATAAGATCACCTCTAAATAAACCTGACTGAGCACAGTAATTTGGGCTACACCTGCACCATCTCTGTCTTCCAACCTAACCCCGCCTCACCCAAGTACCTTGCTATTTGCTGAAATTTCCACAGCATTTCTGTTTCTTTATAAATTAGCACCCAGCACAATATTCTGAGATACCTGAGGTAAATAATACAACCCTAGAACTCCGGAAGCAGCAACTGATAAGGATGATTCACCTGACCCAACAGTTCCTGCCAGATATTCCATCCACTCTCCCTTGTCCTATTCCATCCCCTTTCCATGGTATTGATACCTCACCTGCAAGGGGACCTTTTACACTATAATTCCATAACTCTGTGACCACCAATTCCTTCATGAGTGTCAGAATATGCCTATTTTCTCTTTCCTCTACCTTCTGTCTTATTCCTCACTGGCTAAAGTTTACTTTCTTCTTTGGAATCAAGCAAGAAGCCGCATCATAGAAGCCATACATATGAAAGAATCTCGCTTGAGACAGAGACAGCTGACTTCCAGTTCTGACTATATCATTTATTACTAGCTCTTAGACAAGTTCCTTAAACCTTCTGAACCTCAGCTTCCCCGTGAGTGAAATTAGAGTAATGCTAGCTACATTTTAAGGTTGCTCAATATATTAAATAAGATAAATGGGAAAGCTTCTGTCACATAGGAGAGTTTTCTTTTACTTTTGGAGATTCACTGCAAGGATTTAAATAAGAAATTCTATTTAGCGGTTTCTAGCTGGTGCCTGGACCATGGCTGGGATTTGGTGGAAGGCAGTTCACAGCTGCAGCAGTCTGTTTGAGCTGCAGGAAGTCTACACCACGGGTGCCTCCTGTGTCACCAACCTCTTCTCTTGGTTCTGTTTCTGACTACCTTGCTGTTCCTCTTACATTTGTATTTGCAGTTTTATAAGAAGCGCTATGTAAATGCTACTTGTTACAATTATCTCAAATTCTCCTCTTAACTTTAGTAACACAAAAAAGCTTAATTATTGTTCATGGCAGTAAGTCCTATTCATATTTTAATGACACATTCTTAGAAATAACTATGGAACTTCAAGGATTAGACCATAATTCTTCAACAAAGTTACCTGAAGCCCTCACTTTCCTAGAGAAATGAAAAGGTACTTTTTCTCATTTTCTCAGTGACTGTTGTACGTATTTTCCTCCCATGAGAACTGCAGGAGGCAGGCCAAGTGCCCATGGATTCTAGTCATACTACATGTATTTATTCTATAGATTACCTTTAACCTCATCAGTTCTATAGTTAAAAACATATTCTAGAAGCAGCAGATGGCGTAATGGTTACATCACTGGACTCCCGCATGGTCAACTGAGGTTCAAGTCCGAGATTCTGTGCTTCAAACTTGCACCAGGTACGTGTGTATGCATGCCCGGAATCCTGAAAGGAGACTGGAGACGGGATTGCGTGTGGCCATCTCCCCAGAGGGTGATTTCTGGCTGTCTCTCTATCTCTCTGGCGTGCGGACGCACCCTATAACAAAAATCTCTCTCTAAAAAAAGAAACATATTCTAAGACTGGGGCATTAAAATGTGAATAGTCCAGACTTCTTAACATGACTGATGATTAAGCTCTGAATAAGATCACCTCTAAATAAACCTGACTGAGCACAGTAATTTGGGCTACACCTGCACCATCTCTGTCTTCCAACCTAACCCCGCCTCACCCAAGTACCTTGCTATTTGCTGAAATTTCCACAGCATTTCTGTTTCTTTATAAATTAGCACCCAGCACAATATTCTGAGATACCTGAGGTAAATAATACAACCCTAGAACTCCGGAAGCAGCAACTGATAAGGATGATTCACCTGACCCAACAGTTCCTGCCAGATATTCCATCCACTCTCCCTTGTCCTATTCCATCCCCTTTCCATGGTATTGATACCTCACCTGCAAGGGGACCTTTTACACTATAATTCCATAACTCTGTGACCACCAATTCCTTCATGAGTGTCAGAATATGCCTATTTTCTCTTTCCTCTACCTTCTGTCTTATTCCTCACTGGCTAAAGTTTACTTTCTTCTTTGGAATCAAGCAAGAAGCCGCATCATAGAAGCCATACATATGAAAGAATCTCGCTTGAGACAGAGACAGCTGACTTCCAGTTCTGACTATATCATTTATTACTAGCTCTTAGACAAGTTCCTTAAACCTTCTGAACCTCAGCTTCCCCGTGAGTGAAATTAGAGTAATGCTAGCTACATTTTAAGGTTGCTCAATATATTAAATAAGATAAATGGGAAAGCTTCTGTCACATAGGAGAGTTTTCTTTTACTTTTGGAGATTCACTGCAAGGATTTAAATAAGAAATTCTATTTAGCGGTTTCTAGCTGGTGCCTGGACCATGGCTGGGATTTGGTGGAAGGCAGTTCACAGCTGCAGCAGTCTGTTTGAGCTGCAGGAAGTCTACACCACGGGTGCCTCCTGTGTCACCAACCTCTTCTCTTGGTTCTGTTTCTGACTACCTTGCTGTTCCTCTTACATTTGTATTTGCAGTTTTATAAGAAGCGCTATGTAAATGCTACTTGTTACAATTATCTCAAATTCTCCTCTTAACTTTAGTAACACAAAAAAGCTTAATTATTGTTCATGGCAGTAAGTCCTATTCATATTTTAATGACACATTCTTAGAAATAACTATGGAACTTCATTTATATTTTCTTAATAATCTATTATTCCTAATATCATCTATTCTTATGTTGAAATGTGTCAGGGTCGGGGCGAGCAGGTGGCATGGTGGTTAAGGGGCTGGACATTCCCACATCTCTGACCACAGCTCAAGTCCTGGACCTGGTGGCTTGTTTTCTCACATTCCCTTCTCTCTGTATCTCTCTGGGCAAATTAAAATAATGAGCAAATAAAATTAAAATAAATATTTTTTAAAAAGAAATGTATCACTGTCTCTAAATCTTAATCTGTAAAGTTAGCATCCCCAAATTCTTTCCATCTCGTGAAATTCTCAGACCTATTTTAGCATGTTAGTATATGAACTAAAAGATCATGCATAACAAATACCCATACAGACAAGAAACAAAATGAGTTCCTTACACCATCTTTTTTTATTTTTTTATTTTTTGGAGAGGTTTTCAGTATAAGGTACGTGCGCTCGCTAAACAGAGAGACAGAGAGACAAAAAGCAAGAAATCACCCCCCCCAAGGGGGCATGGCCACGCCGCAACCCTTCTCCTCCATTCTCCTCTCAGGATCTTGGGCACACACGCACACACGCCCGGCGTGAGTTTTAAGCCACCCGGTCCAGGACGCGAACCACGGTCGACTACATGAGAGTCCAGCGACATAGACATTACTCTAACTGCTGGTCCCATTTTACACCATCAATTGATCAAACAAATAGTACTTATTGATCACATATTCTATGCTTCACACAGTGCCTAGTGAGATGTCAACATACAAAATCACTACATCACAATCTCAAGCCAAAAATTAAGGCAGGGTGATGAGGGATCAGAGTCTCAGATCACCTCTAAATAAGTCCGACTGAGCACAGTAATTAGGGCTGGCGTGTCAGCACTATTTCTGTTAGTCTTTGCAACTTAACCCAACCTCACCTGAGTACCTTTGCAGCTATTTGCTGCAATTTACACAGAGTTTGTGTTTCTTTATAAATTAGTACCCAGCACAATATTCCGAGATACCTGCGGTATATAATACAACCCTAGAACTCTGGAAGCAGCAACTGATAAGGACGATCCACCTGACCCAACAATTCCTGCCAGATAGACTCCGGTACTGTTTCTGAAATTGGGCTTGGTTTCTTCCTGCCCTGTAAGGAAAACCAAAGCCGATTCCATTGCTTTGGAGATGGTGTAACAGCTATCAAAGATCTGATAGCCCAAAGTGATGTTGGGCAAAATATCCTTCCTCTTGTTAATCTCTTTGAGCGTGTGGATCATGGCTTTCAGCCAGCGGAATCCCCGAAAGTTAAACCTAAAAAGAAAAGAGCTTTCGTCAGGCTTTAGTCAGTGGGTGGGTCTTTGTGGGGGAAAGTAGCTTTTACTTGGGATGGGTACTAAGAGCATTTTGGCAGAACATCAGCAGGCACCTCACTTGTCTGAGCATGTTAATTTTTAACAAATGATAATACAACTTTGATGAGTTTAAGTATGAATCATATTTCTTACTGATTAGTTTGGGTTGGGTAGCACCTTTTTGGATATTTTCTTGCTCTATATACTTTTCATATGCTATAATCTCCTCGAACTGCTATCTCTATTCACAAAAAGAAAAAGAAAAAATATATATACAAACACACATGTATATACACACACACATATACACACATTTATATATAAAGAGTAATGTGTGTATATGTACATGTGGGTTTATGTGTATATATATATATGTGTGTGTGTGTATATATATATATATATGTGTGTGTGTGTGTGTGTGTGTATAAGTTATATGGGCTCTCCAGAGAGAGAGGTAGAAAGTGAGAAGTCTCCTGAAGGGTTGGCTACCACTACCCCTTCTCCTCCATTCTCCTCTTGGGCACACACATGCACACATGTCCAGCCTGAGTTTCAAGTCGCCAGGTTCGGGACTCTAAATGCAGTCAGCCACATGGGAGTCCGACATGTAACCATTATACCATCTGCTGGTCCCACAAAAATGTTTTTATAGTCACAGTTTTCTCTACAAATCAGGTATTCCAAATAACCCTTGATACATTTTTCTCCATTCATTGACTGTCATCTAAGTCTCCTTTCTCTTCTCCCTATTTTCCCTTTTTCTTTCCTTTTAGATATTAATTATAATTTTAAAAGTTACATAAACATGTAACCACTATACCATCTGCTGGTCCCACAAAAATGTTTTTATAGTCACAGTTTTCTCTACAAATCAGGTATTCCAAATAACCCTTGATACATTTTTCTCCATTCATTGACTGTCATCTAAGTCTCCTTTCTCTTCTCCCTATTTTCCCTTTTTCTTTCCTTTTAGATATTAATTATAATTTTAAAAGTTACATACATGCATGAAAATACTTACGACAAGAGTACATAAAAGCAGTAGGTAAAATTCATATATATATAAATTTATTCCAATTACATAATTTTTCTTGCCTTGATTTGTTATTATTGAGAGGTATTTTAATTAAGGAGGTCTCCTTCCTACTATTTTCACATATAACCATAAACAAAATGCCTCCTCCTTTGTATTCCCTAGTTATTAAAAAGGGAACCGGGACCAGCACATGGCGTAATGGCTATGTCACTGGACTTCCATGTAGTTGACCGTGGTTCGAGTTCCGGACTTGGTGACTTAAACTCACGCCGGGCACACGTGCATGTGTGCCCAAGATCTCAAGAGGAGAATGGAGAAGAGATTGCAGCGTGGCCACCTCCACCCCCCGTCCCGGGGGATGATTTCTCACTTTCTGTCTCTCTGTGGCTCTCTGTCTTTGTGGCGAGCGCACACGCCCTATAGCAAAAGCCTCTCCAGGGAATAAAAAAAAAAAAAGATAAAAGGAGAACTATTACTGCAGGAGCCTATCACTACCTTTTTTTTTTTTTTTTTCAATTTCTTCTCCACTAAAAAAATAACTATTTTCTTCCAACTCTTTCTTTCTGGTTCTAACCTAACTTTAACCTATTTGAAAACAAACACCCCAAATACTTTTAATATCTTCTGTGGCTATAGTATCTCATTCTATGTCTTCTATTCAATAAATACTTTTGAATTAAATGTCTAATAGTAAACAGCTCTGCTGGCAGATTGGAATTTTTCTCCATGTCTTTTTTTTTTGTTAAAAGAGTTATTCATTCAGTTTCATTTACTATTATTCTTTAATTTAACCAGGGAAAGTGAGAAATCAAGACACCAGGTCAGGACTCAAACCCCCATCAGCTATGTGGGAGTCCAGCACCTCAACCACCACACCACCTGCCAGCCCCCTCCATGTCTCTTTGTGTTTTTACTGTAGTTTTGTTTTTCATCTAATATTTATCAATAATTATTGACTTTCTCTAATTGTTGTAATAAATACAATAATAAACAAGGCAGTTATAGCACTATCCAGATAAAGAAAGAGAAAAATAGCCAAGCGATTACAGCATAAAATAAGAAAAATATAAAAATGGTGACAGGATTAGATTTGGGGGTATGAACACAGAGAAGGGGTATCTAGCCCTTGGGAAATTAGCAGCCAAGCTAAGTCTTGATGACATGAGAAGGGGTGTTGGGTCTCTGAGAGCTTAGGGAACAGCATGTGTGAAAGCATTACAGCAAGAGCACGTGCAGCACCCTCAGAGTGGAAATATCAGCACGTTTAGAGGAGAGCCCCAGTGAAAGGGGAAGCTGAAGAACCAAAGATGCCAGAATATGAAGGACCTTATCATCTGAAGACACCACATTTAGTTTCCAAATTTACACAGGTAGCAATATCAGGTGTTTTTTGTATGTGTTTTAAGAGGTTTTGGCCTTAGGGTGCGTGCGCTCATCACAGAGAAAGAGAGAGACAGTGAGAGGGGAAGTGAGAAATCACCCCCCCCAGGGGGGATGACCACACTGCAATCCCTTCTCCTCCATTCCTCTCAGAATCTTGGGCACGCACGCACACACAACCAGCATTATTTTGTTTTCCTTTTTTTTTTTTAAACTAATTTTTTTTCATTTCATTTTCTTCCATACATTCAATCACATTATTACTTGTTTTACAAAGTGGATATTTCAACAGGTGAACATTTCTACCTAGTACAGTTGATAAAACTACAAAATATCTTCAACAGATAATACCACACCGCTTTGTGCCATTAATGCTTTGCCTCCCTGTCCCTCCCCCAAATGTCCTTCCTCAGACCCTCCTCTTTCACACACACTATATCTGGTATTTACATCTGTATACTGTGTTTCTATATCCTTTAGTCAATTAGTTTCAGTCATAGAGTGCGGACACTCGGTACATATTAAGTGGGGACATACAATGCCTCTCCTTCAGAGTCTGGTTTGCTTCACTCAGCAGTAAGTCTTCCATATTCATCCACTTCCTGTCAAAAGCCAAGGTTTTGTTGTTTTTTATGGCTGAATAGTATTCCATTGAGTATACATGCCACAGTTTTTCTATCTTTTCATTTGTTTGTGGGCATTTGGGTTGTTTCCATGACTTAGCAATTGTGAATAGTGCCGCAATAAACATCGATGTGCAAGCACTTTTCTGATTAAGTATTCTTCTGACCTTTAGGTAGACACCAAGAAGTGGGATTGCTGGATCATATGGTAGTTCTATTTGTAAATTTTTGAGGAATCTCCAAATTGTTCTCCATAGTGGTTGGACCAATTTACATTCCCACCAGCAGTGTAAGAGAGTTCCCATTTCACCACACCCCCACCAGCACTTATCATTTTTTGTTTTTTTAATCTTAGTCATTCTGACTGGGGTTAGGTGGTATCTCATTGTTTTGATCTGCATTACAACCAGCATCAATTTCAAGTTATCAGGTCTGGGACTTGAACCACGGTCAGTCATTGGGAGTCCAGTGATGAAACCACTATGCCATCTGCTGGTCCCACAATGTAAGTTTTTGAAATAAATACAAGAATATTTTTTTGAAGTCATGATAGCTATGTATTTCAAGACTTAGAAAAATATTCATTGGCTTTGATCCAGTAAGTCCTCTGAAAATTTATCTGAAGGAAATGTTTCTGTAACAGTAAAAAACTATATGCCCCAAACTGTTCATTACATAATTATTTATGATACTTAAAAGCTGGAATTTACATACCCAGGACCTGTTGGTCCTGATGAAGACATTTTTCCATCAATAAAAAAGTATAATTGGAGACCAGCAGATGGCGGAATGGTTACATCACTTAACTCCCACATGGTCAGCCATGGTTCCAGTCTCAGACCTAGAAGCTTGAAACTTATGCCAGGTGCATGTGCGTGCATCCCCCAAATCCTGAGAGAACACTGGAAGAGAAGGGATTGCAGCATGGCCATTGTCACTGGCGGGTGACTTCTTTCTCTCTCTCTGGTAGATGCATGTATCCTATGACAAAAATCTTAAAAAACAAACAAAAAAAAATAGAGGACAGTGGTTCCTCACATTAGGGAGGATCAGCCAGGGGGTGGTTAAGGGCACTGGACTCCCACATGGCCAACCACTGTTCAAGTCCCGGACCTGGCAGCTTGCTTTCTTACTTTCCCTCTCTCTCTCACTCCATTCCCCTCTGATCAAATTAAAATAAATAAATAAATGAATGAATAAATAAATAAATAAAATAAGTCTTTTTTAATAAAGTGTAATGTAAAAAAATTACCTAGCAGTGTGCATATAACATTAAGTGAAACAGTCAATATGCAAAGCCGTTGCCATACTCTAATGAAAAGTATAAATAAATTATATGAACATTTGGATAAAGATTAAAAGAGAAATTTTTTAATTTCAAATTTAAAATTTTTAAAATGAGTATAGAATAACTAATGGAAGAATGAGATTTGGTATGATTTTTCATTGATTTAGGATTTTTGCTAACTTAGTATATAATGTGTACCTTTTTTCCTCAGAAAATTTCTCTAAGTCATACTTTTGTTTAGGTCAACCAAGGCAAGAATTAAAATATGTGTGGAGGACTGGGGCCTAAGGAAGGATATTTGGAGAAGGGATACGGAGCTAGAACATTGACAGGATGGGGAGATGTGGTGTTACCGGTTGAAGATATTTTGATCAACGGGACTGGGGAGAAATGTTCATATATTGAAATGCTCACATTGTAAGGTAAACAATGTGATTGAATGTATATAAAAAATTTTAAAAATAAAAAGAAGAATTAAAATACTCTCTTTTCATTCTATTTCACTGCCTTCCTCTGCTCTGAAGAATATTAGATTGGAGTCAGGATGACAGATACAGTGAGAGTTCACTAACTCCAAAGATGGCTTCGCTGAAGAGATCTCATTTGAAGATTTAAAAAAATCTTGTCAGAAGATCTCAGAAAAGTTCTAATTTCCATTAGCACTTGATAAAGTTATTCATGCAGAAGTGTATACAACAGAACACTGCTCTTTTTTTATTTGTACTTTTTGGCCTGGGATATGGGTTTTAAATGGATAATGTCTGTACCAGCTTCATTAAAATAAACAATATTTGTAAAAATCATTTTTTTAAAAAAGTTTCAGCAAAGACAAGTTATTTTTTAATAAAAATTTTAGAACCACAAGACCCCTCAGTTCAGTTCATCTCTTATTCAGGCCTAGTACCACAAGGGCCTCAACTCTACTCCTGCCTGCGTCTCCAATTAAGATGGCACAAGGATGGTAGGTACTCTCTGTCCCCTCCCTAATCCCCCCCAGAACTCTCTTAATTTGCTTCATTCCTTCTCCTACCTTTCTCCTTCATTCAGTTCATTGAACTTGAATATGCATTAACTAAACTAACTCTCTGTACCTGAGGCAATGTGGGGCCCTGCCAAGTCTCCAAAATGGAATTCTGTTGTCAAAAACACTTGGGAAATCCTGCAAACTTAGCGCTTTCTTGGATGTTGAAAATGTACATAGTATATTAAAGTTTATAAGATATCTTGGTGGTTACTCAAATTCATCTGACTCCAAAACTCTTTTCTTCTTTCAAAGAGCATTTATCAGTTTTGAGAAATATTCTTAAAGTGGAAAATTTAACAAGAAGAAGAAAAAAATAAAATAAAATAAACCTGCCTGACTCAGAGGGCCTGAGATAAAAGCACATTGTCTCTCTCTTCATTTACATAGATGCTGAATGCAGAATCTAAACTTGCCTGACAGTTTCCAACTCCGCCTTGTGCTTTCTATGTGACCTTGTACAAGCCACTGAAAATCTTTGAGCTTTAGTTGTCTAAATATGAACATAACATCTTCGACCAGCTGTTTTTAAGAGGAAATAAAATGTCTTCTGTACCTAAGATCTATTTAGCACTAAAGAAACTTCCCCCAAGATCATCCCCCTAGGAAAATAGGGCCAGGTTTCAATTTGGGGCTTTTGTTTTTGTTTTTGTTTTTGTTTTTTTTCTTAATGAGTAGTTACTAAAGAAAACCAAATAACAAATACAAGAAATAAATAGGTGCTATTGCTTATTTCCACACAATTTCATAATTAGATTAAAAGTCAGCCTACGGCAGCTTTCTGAGGCCGGGCCTGGAGCTCCAGCCCTTAGCTCCGTGGTCCCTGATGACTCTCCTGCCTCACCCTCACTGCTGATTCTTTCTGTTTCCTTAACTATGTTTCCAGATTTCCCCTCCTGGGGAGTAATGAAACTATACCCTTTCGAACCCCTCTTCTTGTCCAACTGTCTTCAATTTCCTTTCTCATTACATTTTCAAAGGAAAAAGTTTATACATGATCTTTTGGAATACAAGAGGGCAAAGTCAACTTCTTACTCTGAAGAAGGTAAATATTTTCTTTGGTCCCAGCGAATGCCTATCTTTCTCTTTCTCGGATCTTAGCACACACCACTCTCCTCTGGCATTCCAAATGCTTCAGCCCTTCATACCATCTCTGACTCCTGTCTTTCACTGCAGTAATTCACTCAAGCTCTCTCCCTAAGTTCTCTTCAAAACCTCCTCTCTTTATCATCCACCTTCATCACATTTCAATACTCTCACAGCAAGTAGATCAGGTGAAAAAGAATTCACCATTTGGTATGAAGGTCTGATTGCCACCTTCTGGCTCTGTCTTTTGCAAATGAACTACAGAATGTTTAGGACCGAGGGCCATCTTATCTTAAAGTCTGTGGTGCCCGTCACTGTGCTCACCTGTACCTTGCTCTCCACTCCTTCCTGAGAATACTCAGCTTAGAAATACGGTACTTTGCCTGTTTTCTGGTCTCAGATGCTTATAAATATTATTTTACGTATTTGTATTGGTTAATTCTGTCTTATATCTGTTTTTTTTTTTTTTTTTTTTTTTTGGCATAGAATACATGCACTCTACAGAGAGAGTAGTAAGAAGGAAAGTGAGAATTCACCTCTCTCGGGGGATGGCCATGCCACAGGCCCTTCTTCTCCATTCTCCTCCTGGGTTTTTGGGAATGCATGCACATGTGCCTGGCATGATTTTCAAACCATCAGGTCCAGGATTTGAACTTCATTTAGCCATGTGGGAGTCCAGCACTTTAACCACTATGCCATCTGCTGATCTCTCTGCTATTAGTTGCTTTTTTTTTTAAATAAAAAGCACATTGCCTTTCTCTTTATGTACATGGATGCCAAATGCCTAATCTAAAGTCGTATGTTGCTGCTCAAATCCTAATTGCATTGATTATGCATATACCCAAATAGCCCTGATAAGTGAGTTACTTTTTAAATGAGATATACTTAGTTCTCATCACTTTTTCAACCACAGTGGATATATGAAATTATTTTTAATTTGGAATAGTGGATTTTTGCTTTAAAATATGTATATTGGCTTTTCAATCTAACCTTGCTAGAAAAATAAACTTCACATGTCCAATGAAGCATAAAGAACAAGTAAGATTAAAGAAGTGGAAACTTCTGTGACAAAAAATAAACTGACACTACAATAATGTAACTCTAAGCAAAAGCCCTTCTCATCTTTCTTCCCTTTGCTTCACTATAAGAATAAAAAATAAAAATAATTAGAGATAAGTAAGGAATGATTGCAATCCTTTTCTTTTGCCAACAACATTAAATTGATGCATCCCTTTAATGAGATCTCAAATATGGAGCATGACATATGATCAAAGGGGAAGAGTTGTGATTAGTAAAGATGTAATAGTATAAGAGATTGCTCAATTTTACAACATGCATTTATAATTACCAAGCAGCATCATGGAAATGCTCACTACATAGTGTAAAATGCTCAATATAAAATCATGTCTCAAAATAATGTTAAATATTTGGTGTGAGGAATACGCTCACTCCACTGATCTAATCATTACACGTTCTATTCACGTACTGAAAACCACACTGTACCCTATAAATATGTTTAATTATTAATGTCAATTAAAAATGTATTTACAGTTTGTGCTATGGTCACAACTCTTCAAAATTATGGATGCATTTATATAAAGTGCTGAGGAAGAATGTAGGAATGTGAAGAGTACTTTTGTAATAGAGTAGTGGGTAACTTTTCTCCTTTCTTTTTATTTCCAGCATTCTTTTTATATCTAAAATGTGTGTGTGTGTGTGTGCGCGTGTGTGTGTGATGTCTAGATATGTAACCCATGGTTTCCTTTCTTACACTGGATTACTAGCAAATTAATATTATCAGGCATGGATTCCTTTTCCTGACATGACAACCCAGGGGTGAAGGATGCAGAGACAGAAGCCTTCCTCTAGCTGAAGAAATCTGGCTATTAACACAGGCACAGCAATAAATCAGCATTCTCGCATGGTGTATGTTTACTTCGATAGAGTTTAGTCTATAACAATTAACAGTAAAATGGCCACACTGCATAATTCTGCATCAGTGCTTCTCAAACCTTAATGTGTACCTGAATCACCAGAGGGTCTTGTCAACATGTGAGTTCTGAGCCAGCTTGTGGCAGAGGAATAAAGGGCTGCCCAAGAGAAGCCAGATCCTGCGCGTGTGTGTGTGATGTCTAGATATGTAACCCATGGTTTCCTTTCTTACACTGGATTACTAGCAAATTAATATTATCAGGCATGGATTCCTTTTCCTGACATGACAACCCAGGGGTGAAGGATGCAGAGACAGAAGCCTTCCTCTAGCTGAAGAAATCTGGCTATTAACACAGGCACAGCAATAAATCAGCATTCTCGCATGGTGTATGTTTACTTCGATAGAGTTTAGTCTATAACAATTAACAGTAAAATGGCCACACTGCATAATTCTGCATCAGTGCTTCTCAAACCTTAATGTGTACCTGAATCACCAGAGGGTCTTGTCAACATGTGAGTTCTGAGCCAGCTTGTGGCAGAGGAATAAAGGGCTGCCCAAGAGAAGCCAGATCCCATGGAGCAACCGGACTGGAGAAAAGGGGTCATAGTGTGACCAGACCCTGTGCAAGGTGGTTCTCTTTCTTTTACACACTCACATGCTAGATCATGAATAAAACAAAACTATATAAATAAAAATTAATATATATTTATAAATAACTACAAATAAAGTTAAATAAAAACAAATACATTCTATATATACACACATACAGATATATATGTATTATATATATTCATGTAGGTTCAGCTCCAGCAGGTCTGGGATGCAGCCTGAGATTCTAATTCCTAACAAGCTCTTGGGTGACACTGATGTGCGAGTCCACAGACCATTCTATGAGGAGCAACATTCTATATTACACGAACTCTGCCCATTTTCTGTCTGAAAGGCAGATGTGGGAAAGGACACACTTGAGACCAAGATTTCCGGTTTCTAAGTGATCCTAGAATGTCCCCCTCAGATAAACCAAGGCCCAAAAACACGAAGTACCTACCCCGTGTCAGAGTCAGGGCTGGCATCACAGCTCCAGCTGCAGACTCTCAGCCTGGCCGGTATCACTCCTTCCTCCGCCCTCACTTCATGTAAGAAGACTGAAAGAATGGCTTACCCTTCACATTTTGCTGATACCGGCTCCAGGATAGACTCATTTGCTGGGATGGTCCTGGAGTGAACAGGAAACACTCCTCCAATAACAAGTGTATGGTCTTTGGCCTCTACATACCCATTCAAATCAAACTTGCCTAGTAACCGGCAGGTCTGTTCTTTATTCTGTTCTTGGCCTTCAGTGCCCAATCGGACCCATACAAATATAAGAAATCCTGGAAGCAAATATTTCTTTCTGTTGGCCATTTTAATAAGGTGAGTTTGGGGGCCGTGGCGCAGGGTGAGATGTAAGCGCTAATGAGGTGCTCTGGTGGAGTGTGTGTGTGTGTGTCTGCCTTATCCCCGGGGGACTCAGCTACCTGCCACATAATTGGCATGTCTCCATCGGTCACAGAGCCTCACACTCACCTGCAATTTATGGATCTGGACTAGGAACTGAGCAGTTCTTCTGAAATGAGCCTCATCTAAAACTTCTTTTATGCTTCGTAATAATAATATAACTTAATAGTGAGTTTTGAGGTTTCTTTTGGTTTGTTTTTGCTAAGGGTACTCACCAGAACTGGAGAGAAAGAGACAGAGAGTAAGCATCTCCAGTGGGGCATGGTCCTGCTACGATCCCTTCTCCTCCATTTCTCCATCCTACCAGGATTTGGGTATGCGTGCATAGGCACCCAGCATGTTTTTCAAGCCACCTGGGCTGGGATTGGAACCACAGTCAACCATGTGGGATTCATTTCCTTTAAGCACTGTGCTATGGGGCTAGTCCCAGTTTTCCCCTTTTTTATAACTCCTCCACCCATACTCATTCATCTGCAACACACACACACACCCCTCACATAGTTACTATCTTCCTACCATCGGCATCCCCAGACAGCTTTCTCACCTCACCTTCTACAGGCAAGTCCCATCCCTTACTTCCTCCAGCTGAAGAACTTCCCATCTGTCAGTTCAGTCTCATCCCCACTTACCCTGGGCAATCCCAAAAGACATTCCCCAATTTCTATCTCCCAGACTGGCCCTCGTTTTAGTCCTCCTGCAGCCACCTCTGCCTTCAGAGGTGAGCTAGCAGGAAACACACCCCTGGTCCTTGACGGAGTGATATCTCAGTTTATCAAATGTCTCACTAGTTCTTAAGCATGGTAGAGGGCAGATGGTGATGCAGTAGTAAAACGAGGTATGCCGTGAGGGAAACACACCTGGGAAGGTTCTGGGTTCGCATCCAGAGACTTCCATGAATACACCAGGTACACGTGTGCCCATGATTCAGGGCTGGCTGAGGTCAGGGACAGATCACAAGCATCAAGACTTTGGTTGTTTCTCTGTCTCTCTCACTCACAGAAAAATAAACATTTTTAATCTAAAAAAATAAGGGATGGTTCATGGGGTCCATCCTACCTTCATAATTCCAAAATGATACCACTAAGGGACCAGCAGATAGCATAATGGCTATGTTGCTGGACTCCTATGTAGTCAACTGTAGTTCAAGTCCCGGACCCGGTGGCTTAAACTCATGCCAGGTGCATGCGTGTGCGTTCCCAAGATCCCAAGAGGAGAATGAAGGAGAAGGGATTGTAGTGCACTCCTTCAGGGGTGATTTCTCACTTTCTGTCTCTTTGCCTCTCTCTTCCTGGCATGTACACATGCCCTATAGCAAAAACCTCTCCAAAAACAGACAAAATGATACCAATAAGACTTAAAGAAAAGACAATTTTCCAGGGGAATCTCTCCCCAGGTTTTTCTTCCAAGTTTGGCTTCACCCAAATGCGGAGGCACTCCCGGTGCCAGACCAGTCTTCACTAAGCACCTCAGAGTCCCCCACTGGGCTATAAGGGTTCAGTCCACGGCTTTTCTCAGAACTACTTGGAACTGTCACTCATGTGTGATCTCCCTTTCTTACCAGAAGGCAGCTGCTTCTAAGCCCTGTTGTTGCCAAGGGATACCTTTACACAAAGGTATGTTTATCACCACAGCTGATTCATCCCACTCCTCTGGGAAAAAGCTGTGCTAGGGACCATTAGAAAAAATCCTTAAAGCAGATGATATTTAGTTATATTAATGATAACATAAGGCTAGCATTTTTACAGCCCTTTACATCTTATAGATTGCTTTCTCATACCTGTTCTTTCTGCAGGTGAGCAACGAGATTCAGCAAGAGGCTTGGGATTTGTGTGACACCACCTGGCACCAGTGTTTTTGCAATTCCCAGGATGACAGCGTATTTCACAATGGCCACAGGGGTTACATGCTCCAAACGTCGTAGAATTCATCAAAGATGAGGCAAAGGGTACAGGAAACACCATCTGTGCTCTGATGCAGAGGGTTTTTATTAAATGCACAGCGACGATATTCACCATCTCACATCTTCGTGACACTGCATGGCTGTTTCCTTAGGCGCTAAGGTGCAGACCCAAAGTTCACGTTCTCTCTAAGCCTGGCAGTAGAGAGAAAGGCCCGGACAACGTCCTGGAAGGTGCACCCTAGGCCCTGCTTCTGCACCGTCCGGCCCTCTCTTCATCTCCTTGGGACTCGAGCCCCTCATCACAAAACAGGGGGCTTTACGCTAACCAGCCATTGTGCTGAGTCTCAGGGTCCTAACAGGTCAGTGACAGGCTGCTACTGGGTGAGCCCATCCAAGGCTCAAATGTCACCATAGCTTAATAATTGGCTGCCAGTTGTTTTATTAACTGTCAAGATGAGATCTGCCTTCAACAATACTTTGAACCTAATTACCATTTCAACAGAACTTTGACTTCAAGAACCCTTGATCGAGACAAATGGTTTCAAATGAACTATGGGTGCAAATGGCTATGGGTATTTAACACCTGTGCCCCCACGGGGGCTCCCAGCAATGAGCCTGTGGGCTGTAGGTCTCCCCCTCTCTCCCCCAATGTGTATGAGTCCCATGGTTCTCTAAGGGCACTGGTGAAGGTCAGGCTCCTTTTCAGAAACAATAACACACTCTGTCCAGACTTGTCTCTCCCTTCAGGCAAAAGAAAACACCTGAGCCTCTAAAGGTTCTGAGAACCGCCTTATTCAGAAGGGTTAAGAGTGTTTAAAGGCTGTTACATGATTGCCAGGAAAAGCTCAGACTCCAAATCCACTGCCGATGAGAAGCTTGAGCATTCCAGCATCGCGGTGACCTCAAAGCCGGAGAACAGTCCTTGGTCAGGCACAGCCCCTCGGGTGTTCCTCAGCTGTTCTCTCTCCATGTCATCCCCTTGGCTCTGTAATCATTTAACTGCTAAGTGTTACCCATGCCACACCAGCAGACGAATGGACATACTGATCTACTTTATTTTCTTATGTCCTATGCGGAGCTGCTGAAAAATGAGCATATCTAGTTATGTGCGTTTAAATTACTGTTTATACTCTAGAAAACGCTTGCTAGTTTTTTAAATATATGCCTCCCACAGTTAAGAAATGATTACCTGGCATTTCAATTTTGTGACATTATGACATGTGTGACTTGCCTGTATCTTTATATGAGAAGGTAGGAAGACTAAAATTATATCCATTCCCTTCTCATAAGTGTATTACTATTATAGGATTCAAATTATTGATGAGAGGCCTTGAGATGCAGAAGTGGGCTTTTGGCTAGTTGAACATGTCAGTACTAACTACTTGTTAAAAGAAGAGCCCCCTCCGTGTCTAAACAGAAAAAGCCTTAAATTATAGTCATGGAGAAAGATACTCAGACACCACAGGCATAAAAACACTTACAGAATTAAGAAAGCATCAGGCTACTTACTACCTCTTCTACTGGATCTATTTTCAGGGAAACACTTCGACAGCCTGATTCATCCCCTGCCTCCAAATCAGCTGACTCATTAAGCGCAAATTCTTACCACACGGGACCCAAAGCATGCTCACTCTCCTTGCACACATCCCATGCCCCACAGCTGTCATGTGCTGGGGCTATAACAGCAACCGTGAAGATGGTGAGCAAGTACTTGAAGCTGGGAAATGACTGCAATCACAATCTTGTAGAGAATTTATCTGGAATCAAATTTGTAATAAAAGAAACTGGTCAGCTTCAACGCACCTAAAAAAATCGAACATGCCTGCCTGCCTCTAACCTTGTCCTTTTGTATTTCATACCTACAATGAAGGAAAACTGACCACATTAGTCGATCCTCAGAGCCTTGTATAGCTTTATAGACATGCATCATTGGGACCAGCAGTTAGTGTAATGGCTATGTTGCTGAACTCCTATGTAGTCAACCACGGTTCAAGTCCTGGACCCAGTGGCTTAAACTCACGCCGAGCGCGTGTGCGTGCATGCCCAAGATCTCGAGAGGAGAATGAAGAAGGGACTGTGGCATGGCCATCCCCCGGGGGGTGATTTCTCACTTTCTGTCTGTCTCTCTGGTGAGCACATGTGCCCTATAGCAAAAACCTCTCCAAAAAAAAGAAAGAAAGAAAAAGAAAAGACATGCATCATTAAATGGGCCCATTCAAGGTGTACAATTAAATATTGTTTTAGTATACACAGGGTCTTCAAAAAGTGCATGGAAAATGTGTACTAGGAAAAAGCTATGCATGGGGCCAGCTGGTGTTGTAGTGGTTAAGGCAGCTGGATCCCAAGAGCTAATTAAGTAGTTTGAGTCCTGGACCTGGTAGCTTGACAAACACTCTGGGCGCGTGTGTGTGTATGCCCAAAATCCCAAGAGGAGAATGGAAGGGAAGGGACTGTGGTGTGACCATCCTCCCTGGGTGGTGCTTTCTCACTCTCCGTCTCTCTCTCTCTCTCTCTCTTCACATGCACACCACAGCAAATTTTTAAAAAGAAGACAAAAAAGCTATGCATGGATTTTGGAAATTTCTTGCTCCAAAATAAACTCATACTTTAATTCCATTTTCCACAAATTCTTGAAGTCCCTTGTATTTACAGAGTTGTGTAACCATCATCACAATCTAATTTTAAAATATTTTTATCATCTCCCCAAAAATCCTCATTTCCATTTTTCCCTCACTCCAAACCGTAGGCAATCACTTAATCTACTTTCTGTCCCTGTAGATTTGTTTATTCTGGATTTTTCATTTAAATAAACTGAATCATACAATATGTGCCTTTTGTGTTTCGTTTTTTTCACACAGCACATTTTGAGGTTTACTCAAGTTATAGAATATGTTAGTACTTCATTTAAAAAAATATCTTTAGTAAGATATAACTTACCATAAAATTCACCCTCTTATAATGTACAATTTACTGGATTGTAGTATACTTAGAGTTGCAGTCATCACCA